CTCTTCCTCCTCCTCCTCCCCCTCCTCCTCCTCCTCCTCCTCCTCCTCCTCCTCCTCCTCCTCCTCTTCCTCCTCCTCCTCCTCCTCCTCCTCCTCTTTCTCTTCCTCCTCCTCCTCTTCCTCCTCCTCTTCTTCTTCCTCCTCCTCCTCCTCCTCCTCCTCCTCCTCCTCCTCCTCCTCTTCTTCTTCCTCCTCTTCCTCCTCCTCCTCCTCTTCTTCCTCCTCATTCTCATCCTCCTCCTCCTCCCCCTCCTCTTCCCCCCCCTCATCCTCCTCCTCCTCCCCCTCCTCTTCCTCCCCCTCATCCTCCTCCTCCTCCCCCTCCTCTTCCTCCCCCTCATCCTCCTCCTCCTCCTCCTCCCCCTCCTCTTCTTCCCCCTCCTCCTCCTCCTCCTCCTCCTCCGCAAGAATCCACACGAACGGGTATTGAGAGACAAATGTTGCTGAAGACAAATAAACGCTCCTCTGTGGATACATTTCTCCCTCTTCGAGAATCGCGTATCTTCTTTGGCATTTTTTGGAGGATTAAAGGCGATTAAATGCTCTTTTGGATTCATTTTCGTGGCGAGGTTCTGATTTTTTTTTATAAAAAATAGAAGCCAAATTGTGATGCCAGTGGGGTTTTGCATGGCGTAATTGTTATCATGATTTCTACTCTATCTTTGTTGGTCTCTGTTTGTCTGTCTATATCAATGTCTGTCTGTCTCTGTCTTTCTCCGCCTCTCTCTCTCTCTCTCTCTCTATCTATCTATCTATCTATCTCCCATCACCCTCCCCCCCGTCTTTCTCTATTTCTTACACTCTCTCTCTCACTTCCTTCACACACCCACTCCCTCTCTCTCTCTTTCTCAATTTCTGTCTTCACCTTTTCCCTCCCAAACGCAGAGAAATTAACACCTCAACTCTCCTGCGTCGGAGAGAAAAAATGAGCGAAGATTAATGTTGCGTTTGAGAGAAGGAAATATTGGATAATGAGGTTTGGTGTGAGTAAGTTCGATTCCCTAGTGAGCGTCTTGGTCGAAAATCAATGACATTACTGTTTTTTTAAGAGAGACTAATTGCGCATTTGTTATTGTTTTTTGTGTTTTATTTTGGTTGGTTATATCTTGTTTTTTTGTGGGGGGGAGGAGGGGAGGGGGGGTAAGGAGGTTTAGGGAGGGGATTTTATGATGTGGAGATGAAGGGTTAATTGTGTTGATGTTTGTTGATATTTTCGGTGTGCGTTGTTTTTCTTTTTCTTTTCTTTTTTTGTGTGTCTCTGATTGTTTATATATCTGTATATTATTCTCCTTTTCTCCTTTCCTGTCTGTATGTATGTATCCCTGTCTCTCTCTGTCTCTGTCTCTATCTCTGTCTTTCTCTCTGTCTCTCCCTCTCTGTCTTTCTCGCTCTCTCTCTCTCTCTCTCTCTCTCTCTCTCTCTCTCTCTCTCTCTCTCTCTCTCTCTCTCTCTCTCTCTCCCTCTCCCTCTCTCCCTCTCTCTCTCCCTCTCTCCCCCTCTCCCTCCCTCTCCCTCTCCCTCTTTCGCTCACTCTCTTAACTTCTCATATCTCTGTCTCTTCAACAACGGTCTATGAGCTGCCCCCCCCACCACCACCACCCCTCCCCATCGTGAATCAGGAGAGAGGTGAGAAAGAATGAAAGGAAGAAGGGGGAGGGAGAAAGATAAAGGAAATAAGGAGGGATACGGAGAATAGAAAGAAGGAGGAATAGGGAGGAGAATGGAGAGAGACAAGCAGACAGGTAGAGGGACAGATACACAGACAGACAGAGGGACAGATACACACTCAGACAGACAGACAGAGGGACAGACAGACACTCAAACAGACAGAAACAGAGACAGAGACAGAAAGAAACAGAGACAGACAGACAAACAAACAGAAAGAGAGAGAAAGAGAGGGAGAGAGAGAGAAAGACAAACAGTCAGACATGCCCATAGACACCACAGACATAGAGAAAGGAATATCTCCTTTCTTCTGATCTCAGTGTTAACGAGGTGTTATCACAAGGAAGGCCCTTGAAGAAGCATAACGTGGGCGGCGCTTTGCCCCCAGAGGCGCTGCGGGCGTGGGCGTGGGAGGTGAGGGCGCCCTAAGTGACGAAAGGTGATAAAACGGGTCGTTAGGGCTAAAACGTACCGGCGGTTTGGGCATTTTGAGCTCTCGTTACGCACTGTAATTACAGAGTGGTGCTAACGAGGGAGAAAGTGCAGGCGGGGGAGTGCAGGTAAAGAGAGAGAGGAGGAGAAGGGAAGGAAAAAGGGAGGGGAGAGAGAGGAATAAAGAAGGGAGGAAAGAGTGCCTGAAGACTAGGGTAAATGAGAGAGGGAGAGGAGAAGAGAGGGGAGGTAAGGGTGGGTAGAGGTAAGGAGAGGAAGAAAGAGGGGAAGGGAGAGAGAGTGGAGGATGGGGTGAATGAGGGAGGGAGAGTAGAGGAGAGGAGAAGGAAGGGGAAGTTGAGGTAAAGAGAGAGAGGAGAATGGGGAAGAGGAAAAGGGAGGAGGGAAGAGGATAGGTAAAGAGAGGGAGGAAGAAAGAGGGAAAGGGAGAGAGAGTGGAGGATGGGGTGAATGGGGAAGGGAAAGGGAAGGAGGGAAGAAGGAAGGGGAAGTTGAGGTAAAGAGAGAGAGGAGGAGAGGGGAGGGAGAAAGAGAGGAGGGAAGGAGAGGATAGGTAAAGATAGGGAGGAAGAAGGAGGGGAAGGGAGAGGGAGTGGAGGATGGGGTGAATGAGGGAGGGAGAGAAGAGGAGAGGGGAAGGAAGGGGAAGTTGAGGTAAAGGGAGGGAGGAGGATGGGGAAGGGAGAAAGAGAGGAGGGAAGAGGATAGGTAAAGAGAGGGAGAAAGAAAAAGGAGAAGGAAGAGGGAGTGGAGGATGGGGTGAATGAGGGAGGGAGAGAAGAGGAGAGGGGAAGGAAGGGGAAGTTGAGGTAAAGAGAGGGAGGAGGATGGGGAGGGAGAAAGAGAGGAGGGAAGGAGAGGATAGGTAAAGAGAAGGAGGAAGAAGGAGGGGAAGGGAGAGGGAGTGGAGGATGGGGTGAATGAGGAAGGGAAAGGAAAGGGGAGAAGAAGGAAAGGGAAGTTGCGGTAAAGAGAGGGAGGAGGAAGGGAGAGGGAGAAAGGGGATAGGGAAGAGGGAGGTGAGGTAAAGAGAAGGAAGGAGAAAGAGGGGAGGGGAATTAAAGAGAGAGAGGAGGATGAGGGAGGGAGAAAAGGGAGAGGGAAGGGGGACTGGAAGATGGGGCGAATGAGAGAGACGAAGGAGAGGAGTGGAGAAAGGAATAAAAATAGGGGAGGACGAACACGGAGGGGAGAGGGGAGGGAAAAAGAGAGGAAAATGGGTAGGGAGAAACCACGAGGAGGAGAGTGGATGGGAAAGGAGAGAGAGAAAAAAGAGAGTGAATAGGGAGGTAGAGTGGAGAAGAATGAAAGGGGAAGTATTAGAAGAGTAAAGAAGGAGATGGGGTGTAGAAAGAGGGAGAAAGCAAAGGGAAAGAGAAATAGGAACTGGCAAGGGGAGAATAGAAAGGGAGTACTTAGCGTAAATGGAATAAGGAGAAAAGAAGTGAAGAAATAGAGAGAGAGAGAAATAATATAAATATCAAGAATGGAGTGACCTAGAGAGGGAGGAATGAGGGAAGGAGGTGGAAAAGAGGAAGAGAAGAGAGAAGACAAAAAAGGGATCGTGTAGAAGAGTAGTAAAAAAAAGGGAGAAAGGGGGATGCAGAGAAGAGAGGAAGGAGACAAAGGTGGGAGAATATAAAGAAATATAAAAGGGATGTCTGGCTTTGTCTTATTTTCTTATCTTCTTTTATCTTGTCTTCAATCATCTTGTTTTTTAGGATGTTTTTTTTTTTTTTTTTTATCAATACTGTTGTTTGTATACTTTAATAATATTTTTTTGTAAATATTTCGTAACGTAATTGATTCTAAGTAATTTTGATTGGATATTTATTGCATTTGAATCTAAGTTACAATTTTATCTTCTTTCTATACGTAAATCTATTCCTTGTGGTATGCGTTTAACCCTTCCTTCATTACGCCTTTCAAACCTTTTTTTCTATTTTTTTAATACACCGATCTTTCTTTCAAACGCCAGAGCTGTTTTTTTTTTTTTTTTTTTTTTTTTTTTTTTTTTTTTTTTTTTTTTTTTCAAATGTCCTTTCACTTCTTTCAAAAGTCCGTCTCTTCTTTCATCCTTTCATTCAAACGTTCATCTCTTCTTTCAAAAGTCTAAACATTTCTTTCAAACCTCTATCCCTTCTTTCAAAAACCGTTCCACTTCTTCCAAACGCCCCTTCCACTTTTTCAAACGCCCCTCCACTTCTTTCAAATTTCCCTCCACTTCTTTCAAACGCCCTTCCCCTTTTTTCAAATAAACCTTCTTTCACTTCCCCCGCCCCCCCTCCTACACTTCTTTCAACGCCACCCTCCACCCCTCCTTCCACCCCACCTAGGTACTTCCCCCCCTCCCCATTTTTGCATTTTATCTCTATCCCTTTCTATCCCTCTCAGTCCTCCTCGTCTGTCCCCCCCCACCTCTCGTGGATAGTCCCCCCCACTCTCACGATCTCGTCCTCTATCCGAGTTATTTGTCCATCTATCTCTCCTCCTCCTCCTCGTCCGTCCACCCCTCCCCCATTCCCTCTCGTGGATAGTCCCCCCTCCCCTCCCTCTCGTGGATAGTCCCCTCCCCCCCCCTACGAACTCGTCCTCTATCCGAGTTATTTGTCCATCTATCTCTCCTCCTCCTCGTCCGTCCCCCCCTCCCCCCTTCCCTCTCGTGGATAGGCCCCCCCTCCCCTTCCCTCTCGTGGATAGTCCCCTCCCCCCCTACGAACTCGTCCTCTATCCGAGTTATTTGTCCATCTATCTCTCCTCCTCCTCGTCCGTCCCCCCCTCCCCCCTTCCCTCTCGTGGATAGGCCCCCCCTCCCCTTCCCTCTCGTGGATAGTCCCCTCCCCCCCTACGAACTCGTCCTCTATCCGAGTTATTTGTCCATCTATCTCTCCTCCTCCTCGTCCGTCCCCCCCTCCCCCCTTCCCTCTCGTGGATAGGCCCCCCCTCCCCTTCCCTCTCGTGGATAGTCCCCTCCCCCCCTACGAACTCGTCCTCTATCCGAGTTATTTGTCCATCTATCTCTCCTCCTCCTCGTCCGTCCCCCCCTCCCCCCTTCCCTCTCGTGGATAGGCCCCCCCTCCCCTTCCCTCTCGTGGATAGTCCCCTCCCCCCCTACGAACTCGTCCTCTATCCGAGTTATTTGTCCGTCTATCTCTCCTCTCTATGGTTTGTGATTAAGGCTTGGAAATCGATCGTCATTAAGCTACGCCTTTGATCTTGGGAGCAGCGCCATCTTCCCTTTCCGGTGGGGGTGGGGGTGTGGGGGTGTGGGGGTGGGTGGTGGGGGGTGTTCAATGGGGGGAGGGGTGTGGGGGGATGGGGTTAGGATGGAGGTGGGGGGAAGGCGTAGGTTGGGGGGTTAGGGTGGAGAGGAAGGGGAGGGGGGGAGAGGGGGAGGGGGGGAGGGGGAGAGGGGGAGGAGGAAGAGGAGGGAGTCTCAAAAGCCCAAAATTTCAGCTTCTCCTGATTAATCCTCTTCCTCTCTCTCTCTCTCTCTCTCTCTCTCTCTCTCTCTCTCTCTCTCTCTCTCTCTCTCTCTCTCTCTCTCTCTCTCTCTCTCTCTCTCTCTCTCTCTCTCTCTCTCTCTCTCTCTCTCTCTCTCTCTCATTCTCTATTCCTGCTTTTGTTTTTCCCATCTTCGTCTGTGTATGTGTTTTTTTTTCTCTCTCTCTCTTTCTCTGTCTCTTTTTTTTATCTTTCTCTCTTTTCATTTCTTTTTTTTATTTCTCTCTCCCTCTGTTTCATACACACACACACACAAATACACCCTCTCTGTGTGCGTGAGTGTGTAAATCATATAATTCTTTCTATCTATCTTTATATCTTCTTATCAACGTGTTCGTGCATGTTTTGTTAATTTTAGAAAAGCTGTTTTGCTATCTTCATTTCTATTTATGTTATTTATCCTTTTGTATGGTCTTCAGTGCTATATTTAGTTTCTCTCTCTCTCTCTCTCTCTCTCTCTCTCTCTCTCTCTCTCTCTCTCTCTCTCTCTCTCTCTCTCTCTCTCTCTCTCTCTCTTTTTATCTCTCTCTCTTTTATCATATATCATTTATATATGAGTTAATTACGTTTGCTGTGCTCTATTCTTTATTTATGACTTTATTAATCATTATTATTAATTTATATTCATTCCCTTATTATCACATTTGTAACTGATTATTCACTCAACAATTTCCTCTTCTTTTTCTTTTACATTTTTTTTCTTCTTCTACTATTACTATAACATTTTTTTTCTTCTTCTTCTTCTTCTCCTTCTTCGCTTTCTCCTTCTTCTCCTCCCTGTTCTCCCTCTCCCTTTCTTCCAATTTCTTTTCCATACTGATTTTATTCCCATCTTTCCTAGCCATTAAGCCTCAAACATATCGATCAATGATTAAATCACATGTTGATTAATAAGCTTAACCTAATTACAGCGTTAGTGACCTTTATCCCTAATAGAAATATATTTAACAAACATGCTGTTTTTCGCTACAGCTTTCATTAACTTTTCGCTGTGGATTATTTGATTAGTGAATTAATGATACTGATTTCGTATTGGGAGTCTATTTGGTGGCTGTATGTCTGTGATTGTAGGGTTAGATGGGTGAGAATGATGAAGATGTGGTGGTGGTGGTGGTGGGGAAGGAGGACGGTATAAAATCACCAACATCATAAAATCAACAACAACAACAAAATAAAATCACCAACATCATAAAATCAACAACAACAACAAAATAAAATCACCAACATCATAAAATCAACAACAACAACAAAATAAAATCACCAACATCATAAAATCAACAACAACAACATAAAATCAACAACAACAACAAAATAAAATCACCAACATCATAAAATCAACAACAACAACATAAAATCAACAACAACAACATAAAATCAACAACAACAACAAAATAAAATCACCAACATCATAAAATCAACAACAACAACAAAATAAAATCACCAACATCATAAAATCAACAACAACAACAAAA